ACGATCATTTAATTTTGATTTTTTTAAATACAAGAATAAGAAAAATACATAAATAATAATAATAATAATAATAATGATTATGACAAATGGAAAATTTTTTATTTTAATTTTTTTTTAATTTTTTCCCTTGAAAACTTTTTTATCCCTTATCCCCGTGTTCCTTTTTCCTCACCCTTCCCCCCATACAGGGTTTTTTATTTAACCGAAAAAAAAAAAATTCCCTAAAACGATTTAAATTATGTACATTATTGATTATGATAAATAATAAACAAAACGGAAGCCATATTTAATAAACAAAAAAAAATAAATCACGTGGAGGCAGCATTCGTACAGTCAAAACCTCCTTAATGATGAGAATTGAATTCATTCATTCATTCATTCATTCATTTTTAATTTTTTTAACTCTATGAATTTTTTTTTTTATAAACAATATTATTAATTTTTATTTAATAATAATATTAATAAAAACCCTCATCACCAAATTAAAATTTAAAAAAAAAAAAACAATTATTTACATAAATATAGTAAAACATAAAAATTACAAATAAAAATATTATTAATATTATTATTTAATAAACTACTATTACCTCCCCTCCCCTACTCTCTTTCCACCCCCTCTCATCTCTCTCTCTCTCTCTCCTCTCTTAACACGTATTTGATAATGATATTATAAATGATTATATTTTTGTAATGGCACTCGCAAATTTAATAAATTAAAAATTTTTATTTAAATAAAAAAAAATGATGATAGTGATGATGATGATGATGATGATGATTAATGCAATGTTGTGAAAAATGAAATTTTATTTATTGATAACGCGCTACTGATTATAATTACGAGAGTTCCATTATAATTTCCGTTCAGAAATTTTCTTCTTCTCCCCCATCACCACCACCACCGTCGCCGCCGCTATTATTACATACGCCAACCTTTTCCCTTATTCCTAACATTGTTTTGATAATAACACTAAACTTATCGATTGATTATTGATTATTGATTAATATGTTCTGAGCATTTATTTTATGTATGAGGATTCCTAAATTTATTTCTTATGCGTTATCACAGCGATTCGTACATGTATGAAAATATCCAAATGCCATTTTTATTTATTTATTTATTTAAATAAAATATTATCATTAATACTAATAATAATAATAATTAAAATAATAAAGCTATATTTAAATGAACGGAAAACACAAAAAAAAATTTTTTTTTCCTATTTTTTTATTTTCAATTTTTTTTCTTTTTTATTTTAAATAAAATAAAAACCAATAATGACGTTATTATTATTATTATTATTATTATTAATTTAAATAAAGTTTAAAATATTATTAATTAAAAAAATCATTCAATAAATAAAAATCACCTCCCCTAATATAATTTTTAAAAAAAATAAATAATAATAAATCATTATTCACGTGTGTATGCATAACCAACAATTTATTAAATGCTTATATTATGAGATGACGAAAAAAAAATCGATAATAATAATAATAATAATAGAGTTTAATAAAAATAATAATAATAATAATAAAATACAATTAAAATACATTTTTAAATGAAAAAAAAACTTTTTTTTTTAACCGGAATGTTTAACGATTACCAAATCACAATTATTAGAATTTAAATTTCCCTCTCTTTCTCTCTCTCTCTCTCTTTTTTTGTCTCTCTCTGTCTCTCTCTTTCCTTACGTTTAATTACAATGTATGTGTGTGAGTGAGTGAGTGAGCGAATGTGTGTGAATGTTAACACAAACGATTTTTTATAATTAATATTAAAAATCCGTAAAAGATCCGAAATAAAAAGCGAAACGAAAAAACATTTATAATAATAATAATAATAATAATAGTAAACGATCGTAAATAATGTAATGTAATTATTAATGGCGTGTTTGTTTTGTTTGTTTGTTTGTTTGTTTGTTTATTCATTTTTTTTATTATTTTTAAACGCTTCATTAATTTCATTACTTTTATTTTGTTACAGTTAATCAACATATAAAAAAAAAATCTTAATCAAAACGTTTAAACGTAAACAAATAATAATAATAATATTAATATTAATATAAATTACCGTTAATAGATCAATTAATTTAGAATTTTGTAATATTTATTTACAAATAATTTGATTAATTATTATTATTATTATTATTATTATTATTATTATTAATTGATATCATTTTTTTTTTTAATTAAAATGTATTAAGTAACCTATGCGATAATTTTTATTTCATTTTTTTTTTTTTTTTATAAATAAATATATTATTATTATTAATTAAAATTATTTAAAAAAAGAGGGGGTGGTGAGGGGCAGATCCAATCGAATCAATTAAAAAAAAAAAAAAAACACATAACATGTTAATAATAATAATAATACTATTTTAATGTTTATTTAAATAAAAAAAAAAAATCAAAAAATCAAAAAAAAAGTGAGAAAAAAAATTTAATTTTTAATAATAATAATAATAATAATAATAATATAAAAACAAGACAAGACACAAAATTTTTTTTTTATAGCTGGTAATAGTAGTAGTAGTACATTTAAACACGTGACTTATTAATGTTAATAAATACATAATTATTGCAATTTAAAAAAATTTTTTTTTTTGGTTTTTTATTTTTATTTTTATTTTTTTTTCTCTCTCCTTCTCTCCCTCTCTCTCTCTCTCTCCCTTTCTCTCTTTGTCTCTGTCTCTCTTCAATTCAAAAAAGGCACCGTTAAAAAAATATTCGCGAAAAATATTTAAATATATATATATATAACTAATATTTATTTTATTTAACTATTCCATCATTATTATTTTGTTTAAAAAAAAAACTATTATTATTAACTTATTTATTTATTATTATCATTATTGGCGTTATTTATTTTTTTTCCTTAAGTTATCACGAATCAAAAATCCCTTAATTTTACCTCTAATTATTATTACTATTATTATTATTATTTAAAGTCATGAATCAAAAATTTTATTCCCACATCATAATAATAATAATAATATAACAACGAAACAAACAAAACATTTCCCCCCTTCCTCCCGCCTCGTTTTCCCATCCCCTCCCCTCATATCACTAAAATATTATTATTAATAAAAAAATTATAAAAAAAATATATAAAAATAATAATAATAATAATAGTAAACAAATTTAATTTTATTGCAAATGTAAAAAAAAAAAAAACATAATCGAAAACAAACAAAAAAAAATCATTATTATTATTAATATAACATTTCCGTCGGCGAAAAACAATTTTTTTTTTTTTTAACCTCCTTCCCCATCCCTCCCAAAAATAAAAAATAAAAAATAATAATAATAATTATAAAATATCACATCACAAAATATTTATTTATATATATATATATATATATTAATTACGTTTTATTTAAAAAAAAAATGAATTCGTTTATTATCATCATCATTATTATTATTATTATTATCATTATTTTTTTTTTTTTTAAGTAAAATTTGAATGTGGGTATAATATATCCTTATCAAAAAATTCTTATCATCGAATTATTTTTAAAAAAAAACCTTTTCACACCTTTTTTCGCATATTTTTTTTTTTTTTATTTAAATTGTCACGTTTATTTATTTATTAATTAAATTAAAATTAAAATTAAAAAATATTATTATTATTATTATTATTACTTTTTTTTTATATATATGTATAAGATGATATTATTAATATTAATGATAAAAAAAAAAATTTAAAAATAAAAAAAAAAAGTTTTTTCGTATTAATTTAATTGTTCCTCTCCGTCCAATGAATCGTCTTGAGTTGCTGAATCTTCACCACTTCCGGTTGTCGGAATGGATCCTCTTTTTGACGATGACATTCTCGATCCTATAGCTAAACTACCACCTCCTCTCCTACAAAACAATAATAATAATAATAATTTCCCTTGAATTATTTACTAATTAATAAATTTTCTTTTTTATAAGCTCGCAAGCTTTTCTCTAATATATGCATGTAAATCGTAAAAAAATCAAAGGCGTCGATGTTCAAACAAAGCCGTGCTTTTATGTTATTACAATGAAAAAGTTATGAAACAAAAGGTGGAGGGCGAAGGGGGGAGGGGGAGAAGGAAAAATTTATTAGTGTCAAAAATTAATTAAAAAATTAAAACGAATTAAATAAAAATTAGTTAATATTATCACAATAAAATCCTTTGTTAGAAAAAAAAAAAAATTGTTTCCCCTCCCTCCCCCTTCCCCCAAGCATTTAAATGAATAACACACGTGGTTGTTGTTTGTTTTGCGTTTGTGTTTGTGTTTGTGTTTGCGTGCTAGCTAAAATCTATTCGAAAAGCATTTTAAGCCCCCCCCCTTTTTTTTCTAAAATGTACCTGATTGGACCTTTTTTTTGGTAACTAAAAGCTCTAAAACTCTTGTCGATAATAGCAAAATTAAAAAAAAAAAAAAAAACGAACGTAAACGTTATCAAACGTTATCAATTATCAGGTTTTTTAAACTTAACGTTTACCTTAATTTCTTCTTGGTTTCCTGCTATTTAACAATACTGAAAACCAATCATAAAAAACAATTATTATATAAATACTTTAGTTTCTCACAATTCTACTATTTTTGTTTTTAACCTAACAAAAAGACTAATTTTTATAATAATAATAATAAATCTTAATTTAGTAAAAATCTTAAAAGAATATATATATTATTAACTTTACATGCGCTCTCTTGGACTGAAATTATTATTATTATTTTTTTATTTTTTTGGGAAAATTCAAATACTGGGATTTCACCGAAAATTTTCCTTCTTTTCGTGGGGGTTTCGGTTTCTTTTGTTTTTTTTGTTTTTTTTTTTTTTTTTTTTTTCATTCAATTATTATAAAACATTTTTTCTTCTCATGTTGACGAACCTAAATATCAAATTTTCAATAAGTTAAGCGTGAAAAAAATAATTTTTTTAAAACTACTAAAAGGTAAACAAGTTTCAAGCAAAAAAAAATTCCGGACACAATAACAAAGATTCTATTAGAATTTTGTCACGTGGATAGACAATTACACGTCACAAAAGCAACTTTTTTTTTTTTCTTTTTGTGTCCCCTCATCGAAATAACCATCACCCAAGCATTATTAAAAAAAAATCAATCAATCACCTTAATTTATTTTTTAAGTTACTAATTTCTCTCAACATGGCTTCGTGAGATTCAACCATGTCCTCGTATTCTCTTTGAGCTTTTCTCTTTTGTGCTTTTTCCCTCGATATTTCTTCTTCGGCTTCATCGATTTGCCTTTTGAGACCTTTTATACGAGCATTCACTTTTTCAACTTGTTCTTTATATTGATCCGCGTGCCTTCTCTCATCTTCCAATTGCAAAAGCAATTCTTTTAATTTTTTATCCATTTTCCTGTTTGTTTTCTGTTGTGCGAATCTTTCTCTGCAAAAAAAAAAAAAAAAAATTATTTAAAAAAATTAGGGAAAACGTTACGAAATGACGTCCATTATTTTTAATTCAATTTCGTGGGAGTCAATTTACTTGGCCTCGGCTTCCAATTGCTCTTCCAAAGTTAAAATTTTCGATTCCAACGCTGCTATCGTGGCTTTTGTTTTTGTCCTCTGATTGGTTTCCAATTCCGTTAATTTCGCTTTGAGTTCTTTGTTTTGCCTTTCGAGAAGCATACGATTACTTTCTAATCGTTGAGTTGTGGCACGTTCATTTCCAAGATCTAAAAAACAAGTTCCACTCGTTATTTTTTTTTCTCCATTTTAAAATCATACTTATTTATATTTGCTCACCAGTAGTAAGTTGCTCAATCATGATTTGAGCTTTTCTTGCTCTATCAGTAAGTACTTCGGCGTTGCTTTGTTCTTCTTCCAATTCTTCTTCTAATGTAGCAATGCGAGTTTCCAACCTTCTCTTTTCATCGACCAACAAAGTTCTATAATGAAAAATAAATTATTACCCTTTGCATTTAATGCTTTTACATTGCCTTAAAAAAAAATAATAATAATAATTTTTACCCTTTGTTGGCATTATTGTTGATTTCTTCTTGAAGTTCATCTCTTTCGGCCTCTGCTGCTCTTCTTTGCCTCTCCACACTAGCCAAATCTTCCGTCAATTGTAATAAATCCGCTTCCAAGTTCTTTAATTTTCTTTCATTTTCCTTGGCTGCCGCTGCCATTTCTTCTCTCGCAGCCCGAGCTTCTTCCGCGTCTCTGGTAGAGTCTTTAACTTGAACCTTGAAAACAACAATATTAAATTAAACAACAACTTTTCATAATTTTTAATTTGAAAAAGAAAAAAAAAAAAGTAGGTACCTGTAATTTTTTAAGTTGTTTCAACGCATCCTCCTTAATCTTATTGTGCATTTCTAATTGTTGTTCAAGATCTTTATAATCCGCTTCCAATTTCTTTTTAGAAGCTAGCGCGGCGGTGCGTTGCTTCCTTTCGTCTTCCAATTCAGCTTCTATATCTCTGAGCTGTTTAATTAATCCTCTTCTTTTTTCTTCGGCTTGCTCTTCTTTCGCCTGAAGATCTCGTTCGCACTGAGCTCTCAAAGCTTGCATGTTGACTTCCAATCTTAATTTGGCATCTTCGGACAATTGTAACTCGTCTTCTAATTCCTCGTTTTGAGTTTTGGCTTCGGCCAATTGAGTTTCCAAAGCTCGTTTGGCTTTTTCTAATTCGTGTACATTCTTGTCGGCCGTTCCTTGATTGTTAACCAATTCATCTAATTCTGCTTGTAAAGCTCGGCGACCCCTTTCCAACTCCTCAACTTTTTGACTCAATTCGTCTAATTCTCTAGTTAATGATAATACTTTTGTTTCTTTTTCACGAGCCTCTCGTTCTGCGGCATCTCTTTCTTGAGCGATTTGTTCGGAAACAACCTGAAAATTTTTTTAAATAGATTTACATACGTTCCTTACTTTCAGCACTGTCACGCTACAAAAACAAAAAATTATCACTACCTTTTCTTCGGCCAAAATCTTATCAAAGTTTCTTTGTTTCTTCTCGAGTTCTAATACTTTTGCTCTTTGCGCTTCCAAATCAATGTTAAGATCTTCCAATTCTGCTTGCAACTTTTTCTTAGATTTATCCAATTTGTCGTTTGCCGTTTTGTACTCTTCCACTTGTCTTTGAAGGCTTTCGATATCTTTGATTTGCTTCTTCTTGATTTCTTCCAACTGTGCAACTAATTCCGCTTCATCATCTGCCTTTTTCTTTAGTTCCGTTGCTTGCAAATTTAATGCAACAAATTGTTTTTCCAAATTCTTTTTGCTCTCTTCTTCTTCTTCCAGTTGTTCCTTGAGTGCGGATATTTCACTTTCGACTTGTCGCAATTTTGAACTCAAAGCTAATTTCTGACGCGTTTCTTCTTCTAACAAAGCCTGAGCTTCGACCAACTGCGTTTCCATCGTAGCAGCAGCTTTAACAGCAGTAGAAGCTCTCAATTCGGCTTCTTCCAACTGACAAGTTAAATAACAAATTAATAGATTTTGAAAAAATATTTAAGAAAGTGAATTAGAAAAAAAAAAAAAAATTGAATATACTACCTGAGCGGTAATACTGTCACTTTCTTGTTGAAGTTTCGCTGCTTTTTCTGCAAGCTCACTTCTTAATCTATCATTTTCGCCCATTTTACTCTGAAGTTCGGCCAATTGTTGTTCAGCCTGTTTTCTTCGACGATCGGATTCTTGTTTTGCATTTGTTGCAGCACGTAATTCTGAAGCTAAATCGGCACTTTCAGCTTCTAAAGTACTTTTAGCTTTTTCTAAACCTGCTTTTATCTGAATAATAATTATACAAAGATTTAGACGAATAATGATAATAATACTAATAATAATAATAATAATTAAAAATCTTATTTTTTTTGTCTTGTGCTTGTTTTCCACTTCAGATTATACCTTTTTAATTTGTTCTAATTGTTCGTTAAGTAAGGCCACTTCTTGGGAATGCTTATGTCTCATTTCGGTCAGTGATTCTTCATGAGATTGAGTTTCTTCTTCTAATGTTTTCTTTAAAGTGGCCAATTCCTACGAAAAAAATAATAATAATAATAAATTAGGCTCTTTTCCTAATTTTCACTTTTTTTTAAAATGTGAATAGATTGCATGCGTATTAAATATGTTGTTTAATAGAAATGTGTACCTGCTCTCTCTTGCTTCGAAGTTCTTGCTGTGCAGCCGTTGAATCCAAAGAATCTAACAATTCGTTTTTAAGGGCTTCCAATTCTTCGTTCAAATCTCTTTTTTGTTTTTCTGCTTTACTTCTGGCAGCTTTTTCAGCTTCCAAATCTTCTTGCAATTCTGCCACTTGGCTTTCTAATTCCCGTATAGCTTTTTGAACTTGAGCTTTACCAGCTCCTTCCTCATCGATTTTCATCAATGCAAGCGATAATTCCTCTTCACGTTTTCCCAATTGCAATTGCAATTCTTCCACCTGAGTTTTCCTTTCGTTTAATTGTTCTTTCAAATCCGAAACCTAAAAAAAAAAAAAAAATGAAAAAATGAAAATTATCTTTTTTAATTTATTCGACCTAAATTAAATTTTAGTCTGGGTCTTGTATTTTTACCTCGGCTTCAATTCTACGCTTGTTTCTATCCATTTCTTGTCTTTGCGTGTTATCCTTGAGTAGTTTTTCTTCCAAATCAGCAATGGTGGCCTCATGTTTCGTTTTCAATTTGGCCAAATGTTTAGCTTTTTCTTCTTCTTCGGCCAAAGCCTGAGCTAAATCGGCAGCACGCTCTTCCAATATTTTTTTCTCTTTTGTTAATTTTTGATTAGTGTCTTCCGACAAAGCCAATTCTTCTTCCAACTTTTTAATTTTAGCATCACATTGAACTTTTTCTAATTGTATCTTTTGCCTAAAATTAAATTTCAATAATTTAATTAAAAAAAAAAAAAAAAAATCGCACAAGTTTTTACATTTAACATTTAATATATATATATATATATATTTACCTGGCTGCTTCTTCTTCTTCCAATTGTTCTTCTAAATCTTGAATATTAATTTGTAATTTTTTCTTTTCGGCCGAAAGCGAGTTGGATCTTTCTTCTTCTTCTTCTATTCTTGCTTCCAAGTCGTGAAGAATTTCTTCTAATTCTTGTTTACGTGCGGCTAAACGAACTCGCATTTCTTCAGCTTCTGCACAAAGTTCAACTTCGGCTTGAAGCTGTTCTTGAAGTTGAATTTTCTCTTCAACAGCAGCTTTGTATTTAGTTTCGTATTCTAAAGCCGATTTCAATTGAGTTTCCAAATTCTCCCGAACCTACATTTCGTGTAAAATTGACATGATTTAATAATATTTAAAAGCTTTAAACATTCAACCGATCCAAACTAAAATTTTAATTTTTTTTTTTTACCTGTCTCAATTCATCTTCCTTTTGAGTGAGTTTCTCTTCTTGTTTGGTAACTTCTAATAAAGGTTTTACTTTCGTGTACAACCTCCACCATTGCCAATTTTTAAGTTTTAAATAAGCCGAACAATTTCTTTGTATGATACGTATTGCATTTAATTGTTGTAAACGTTTTTGGTAATTTTTTCTAGCTAAAAACCCACGGCAAAACGCCTAAGAAAAAAAAAAAAAAAAAAAAAAAAAAATTATTTGATTAAATTTATTTCGACCAAATTTTTTTTTTCTCTCTCCATAAAAAGTATAAAATTTTTTTTTTTTTTACCTGGAAATTAACTATCAAATCCGTAATCTTGTAATCTCTTTCTTCTTCCAAATGGGCCAAAACTCCAGCCCTGAAAAATATTTTAGATTGTCCCACACGATACAAATTTGAATCTAATTCTAATGTTTTTATCATATTTTCACAAGCCTTTTTACCATCCATAAATTGCTTTGGAATAACATTGGGCGTAAGCAATTCATAACGTTGTCGAAATTCTTGGAATGGTATTCTGCAAAAAAACAAATTATTTATAAAATGTACAATTTACTATTCAAAATATTATTAATAAGTCGAAAAAAAAAAAAAAAAAAAAAAAAAAACCGTACCTGTTAGGGAAACCTTGGCGGCAAATACGAATACCTTCGAGTACTCCATTACATCGTAATTGATCAAGAACTAAGGGAGCATCAATTTTACCAGCTCGTTTTTCATGATTAGGAATGATACAACGTACAAAATTGGGATTTGTATTTCTTAACGTGACCTTAAAATTATAAAAAAAAAATTCAAATCAATATAAATAAATAATTTCACAAAATGGTATAATTTCATTTCGAAACTTTTATTTTCACCATTAATTTTGTTAGCTGTTCTTTGTATAATTGAGAAACGGTTCTAAACATTCCCTTTCTCGTTCTCGCTCCAAACTGCGTGTCGGTCAAAGCTTGTTGAGCCATTCCAACGATTTCAGCATCTTTCCAGATGTGAACGATAAATGGATCTTGAGAAGATTGTAAAAGCGAAACAACGTTTTCGTTTAGCGGATCCATGTTTTTCATCAACCACTGCGAAGCAGAATAATCAACTTTTCCGGCGTAATGCATGATAGCAAAATCGGACACTCCTCTGAAATCCGTTTTTATAAATTTCGGATGAACATTATGAGCGCTAATTAATTTATCGACAAACGTTTTATCAGTTGCCTTGGGAAACCAACATTCTTCATCGAGCAAAGCCATGATACCCATGGGCTATAAACGGAAAAAATTCTCCATTAGTTGTTTAAATTACCGACGAAACAAAAATATAACAAATAAAACGCGTTAAATTTCAGATAAATACTCTGTCGATCAAATCGATTGTAGGTTGCAAATCCAATCCGAAATCTATAAATTTCCATTCGATTCCCTCTCTCTGATACTCTTCTTGTTCCAAAATAAACATTGTATGATTAAATAATTGTTGGAGTTTTTCATTCGTGTAATTAATGCAAAGTTGTTCGAATGAATTCAAATCGAATATTTCAAAACCCGCCATGTCGAGAATACCGATAAATGAAGCTCCCTGACGTTTGGTTCTATCAAGAGATCTATTAATTCTGTTGACCAACCATCTGAACATTCTCTCGTAACAAGCTTTAGAAATTGCTTCGACCGCGAATTCAACCTAAAAACAAAAAAAAAAAAATTTTTTTTTAATTTCATAAATTTTAATAGAATAAATTTCGAAAATTTGAGGTTGGTACCTGTTCTTTTGTTTGAGCTTTAGTAACAAAATCCCGGCCGACTTTAATTCGAGGTTTTAAAAATGCTTTTGTCATATCTGTGACGGAAAGACCTAACAAATGGGCAACTTTTTGAGCAACCGTATTATCTGGTAAAGTTGCTTGATCTGAATTTCTTTCCTGTTTGAACTGCATCGATCCAAATAACATCACAGCAGAAACAATTCGGAAAATGGCTGTCAAATATTAAGAACGAAAATTATCAAATTGTTACCGTAAAGAATCAAATTGTTATTTTAATTTTAAAAAAAACCCACCACTAAAATCTTCTGGGGACATTCCCATTATTGTCATTGCATTGCAAGTTTGTTGAAATTCCCCTGCGTCATCAACGCCGGGTACGGGAAGAAGACCGGATGACAAAAAAGGATAATTTTTAGGGTCTTCCAAAATAAATTCGCCTAAAAGAGAGAGAGAGAGAGAGAGAGAGTAAATAATTGACTTTACGTACTTTGTTTTTTGCAATTTTTATAAAAATTTTTCCTTTTCGCTAAGTGAACAATGTAAATAACCAACAATTAACATTTTAATATTTTTAAAGGGGGAAGGGGGAGGGAGGAAACTTACGTTTTTGATCGGAGGAAGCACCAGCCAACAGTTGGTAAAAAATGTGAAAAGTACGTTCATCTTTAGCTTGTCTTATTGCTCTAGATTTTTCCAATAGATAAGTTTCGATATTAGCACCTGCTATATATCCTGATGCATCAAAATTAATTCTAATGAATTTACCCTGCAAAAAAAAAAAACAAAAAAAAAACCAATTAATATTATTATCATTATTAACAAATAATAATAATAATAATAAACTATAAAAGTTGTCAAATAATTATTTATACTTACAAATCGAGATGAATTGTCATTTTTAACAGTCTTTGCGTTACCAAAGGCCTCAAGGATTGGATTTGCTTGGAGCAGCTGTTGTTCCAACTCCCCCTTAAAATCGAATAAAAAAAAAAAAAATTTTAGAGACAAAGAATAAATGAGTTTTTTTTTTTTTTTTTTTTTTTTTTTTTTAGTGATTCATATACAATTTGTAAATAATTAGCAAAAAAAAAATAAAAAGAATAATGGCAAATGTTGACGAGGTTTTTTTTTTTTTTTTTAAATAAATTTTATCGCTTGCTAAATTTGAACAGGTTTGAAACCGAATGCACAATTCAAAAAAAAAAAAAAAAAATTTATAAAGTTTATTATTTATAAAACACAATACAAAGTGTAAACGAATTTCGAAATTGAAAATATAATCACCGAGATATAACTTACAGCAAAATTTCCACTGAAATTTGACACGGGACTAAGCTGTTCGAACGCAGCATGAAAATAAATTTAAAATTTAAACCGTAAAAAAACAAAGTTAAATAAAAAAAAAAAAAAAAATTTGACGACTTGCTAACAAATTTTACTTAAATAAATAACTAATAAAAGTATTGAATATAAAAGCAAATAACAATAAAAAAAAAATTTACCACCATACCCCTACATATTTAACAAAAAAAAAAAAAAAAAAACTAAAAACATTTTCCATTTTCTATTCCTAATTTTTTTTTTTTTAAAATGAATTAAAAGCAAAAACAAAAAATTTTGGAATACTTACGATAAGTACAGCTTGACTCGAAGCCTAAACATGCGTGTGTGTGTGTGTGTGTATATATATATTTATATAAAGTTGTCCACAAAAAAACGTGTTGGCATCAACCGTTGACAATGTGCAGGCAATACAAAAATGGAAGAGAAATAAAAAAAAAAAAAAACAACAAACCAATTAAAAATGAAATTATTGCCAAATTTTTAATTTCAATTAAATTAAACGAGAAAAGTTATAAGAAAAAAAAAAAAATCATCGATATTAATAATAATATAATTATCATCAGTTAGTTATATTTTTAATTATGACTAAAAAAAAAATTTTTTTTTATTTTTTTATTTGTTTGTTTAATTTTAAACGAAATTTTAAAGGTGTAAAAAATTGTAATAAATAAATATTTAAATAAATAAATAAATAAAAATTTTTTTATAAAGATGAAAGACTAAAAATAATTTTTTTTTTTTTTTTTTTAACGTCGGAAAAAATTTTTCGAAAAAAAATAAACAATTTGGAAAACTAATTTTTTTTGGCAATAATATCAAATTTTTTAATATATAAATATATATATTAAAAATAACCCGAAAATAAAACATCCTCACCCTGCAAAAAAAGCCCGAAAAAAAAAAAAAAAAAAAAAAAAAAAGAAAAGTGAAAACTCATACTACTCAACACATGCAAAAAAAAAAAAAAAAGGCTCTTTTATTATTTTTTTATTACCCGGAAAATTTTTCCATCATTTTTTTTCAAAATTCGTTTCGTTAAATTTCACATTGTATCATTGAAAATTATTTCATATTTTTATTTATTTATTTATTTATTATTATTATTATTAATATTTATCGGAATTAAAAATGATAAATGCATGTAAACAACGTTCGTCCGATAAGAAAATAATAATAATAATAATAATATAAATCATTTCCATACATTATACACAACTTTCGAAGGAAAAAAAAAAAAAACTAAAATCGGAGAAAAAAAATGGGTAAAAAAATAAAAAATTTTCCGCAAAATGTATAAAAATAGATAAAATGATAAGGGGAAAATGATTTGTGTGGTTTTTGAGAGCCTGAATGCAACGAAATTTTCCTTTCTCTCTCTCTCTCTCTCGCACACACACACAATACTGTGTTGTTGATCAACAAATAATCAAATTTATTTTTCATTATTCGTGTGCTTATCACACAGATTTATTGTTTGCTTATGACGTTTTTTTTTTAACCTAACATTGACTTCATTATTATTTAAGACGCCAAAAAAGTAATGAAATATAGTAATTAACTATATATTAATAAACCTCCCAGGTATCATCCTCCCCTCATCTGACTTTTTTCCAACATATACACAATCGTACCTATTATAATAATAATAATAATGTTTATTTTAAAAAAAAAATTTCTGATAAGCTCTTTCATCAATATTTTTGATTAATTGAAAAAAAAAATTAAATAAAAATTGCAGTAAGGAAATTGTAAAACGATACCTCTCAGGTACTAAAGGAAAAAAAAAGGATTGATTTTCAACATTTGAGTAATCAATTCACAAACGTCATTTTTTTTATATGTATGTCACAGCCAAATATGAACAAAAAAAAAAAAAAACAAAATGGTTGCCATTGTGTCATCATGTCCTACACCCCAAAGTATCACCATATACGATCAAATTCTTTTTTGTTCTTATGATGATCGATTTATTGATTAGAAAAGAAAAGAAAATAAAAGAAAAGAAAAAAAAAATCGCTTCGCTCGAATTCTAAACAAATATTAATAGTAAAAAAGGGAATGAGAAAAAAACTAAACTTTTAAAGTCAAGGTTTGATTTTTTTTTTTTTTGGGGGGGGGGGAGAGGGCGATGCATGTCACGTGTTTGTTGCGTACTTATAATTCGAAATTATTGTTAAGAGACTTTTTTTTTTTTTTTTTTTGTTGTTGCTATTATAACTTTTCAATTAAAAGAAACAGTGGAAGAAGAAGCAAAACCTTAAAAAAAATTTTATATAGCAAGGCAGAATAAAATATTATTATTATTATTATTATTATTATTATTATGAATATTACCGTATGTGGCGTGGTAGAACCTTTAGGCTTCGATGCGGCTACGTATGCCAAATATTGTATAACCTTTTTCGTATTTTCAGTTTTTCCAGCTCCCGATTCTCCCGTACAAAGAATCGATTGATCTTCTCGATCTGTAATAATAATAATAATAATTTTAAAAAAATTATTAAAATATGTAATGAAAAATATCGGGGGGAGGGGGGTGGGGGTGGGGGTGAATAAAGGAAAACATATTTTTCTTCAATTTTCGTAATTACATTTTATCCGTAGACGTTTAACGCCATCAAAAACGTGCTATAGCGCAGTTATTAATTAAAAAAATAAATAAATAAATAAATAAATAATAATGATGAATAACTAATGAAGATGATGAGAATGATGATGAGGATGATTAGTATTATTATAATATTCTTATTTTCTTTCTTTCTTTTTTTCTTTCACCATTACAAAAAAAAAAAAAAAAAAAAATCATTTAAATAAATTATAAAAATAAATAAACGTTTATTTATTATTGGGGTTAAAATACCAACCAACCAACCAACCAACCGACGACGATTTGAATATTAAAATTTTAACCGCCAACTCACGGATTTTTATCCGCCTGTGGTTTTGAAATGTTTTTCTGCATGGTTTTCAAAAAAAAAACAGAAAAATTCGTAAACAAAATCAATTTTATTCGTGCCTGTTAAACGTTTACTTTACATTTCTTCTTCTTCTTCTTCTGATCGTAGACCATAATTTTTTAAATCAATTAAAAGTTTTTTTCCCCCCCCCCCATGTAATGTACCGTTCATCAAACGTTTCTACAGAGTCAAATATGGTTAAAATGTTACACTTATTGATAAAATAATAATAATAATAATAATAATAATTTCTTATTGTTGTATAAACAAGTAAAACGTTACATTTTTATTTTACGTATTTACAATGAGAAAAAGAGAAAAACGTATTCGCAGTGTTTAGTAGTAGGCGGACACGCCTTCATAAATTCGAATGAATCATTGACTTTTTATTTTATTTTTTTTAAATCTAATATAAAATAGACAACAATTTTATCTTTTTTTTTTTTTTATAAAAATAAATAATAAATAAACAAATATCAAAAAAAAAAAAAAAAAAAATTAATTAATTAAAAATCCAATTAATAATAATAATAATAATTTCAAACACAAAATATTATATTAAGTAATAATAATAATTTCAACACCTTTTTATTTTTTTCCTATTATTTGTACTATTGTAAAAGGACCAACCACATTTAATAATAAAATACTTCTAGAAATTTCCTTACATGGTTAGTTACACCGATATACAACTGGGAATTTAACCCAGTTGCCTAAAGTCTATAAGAATATAAGTATAGAGTGAAATTAAACGCCCAGAAGAAGTCGTTTAAAAAAAAAAAAAAAAATTCATTTTACTTTCGAAACATCCAGTTTAGTTTTTCTCCCCCCCCCCTCTCTCTCTCTCTCTCTCTCTCTCTCTCTTTTATGTGCAATTACTTAACGACGTGGTGGTTTTTATTTTTTATTTTATTTTATTTACGTTTACATAAAATTTAAATCAATAAAATGAAATAACGCGGTAAAGAGTTATCATCAACCGATTCTACAATCCTTCTTCAACATCATCATCATCATCATTGCAACTCGTTTTTATTAACATTTTTAAAGTTTGGTCGTACTTAGGCATGGCATTGGTCGTTGAATCAGCGCCCCCCATTTCCAATGCGTCTTTCATTTTATCAATAAACCGCACAATCATCATCATCATCATCATCATCATCGGTACTACTATTATTACTACTCTTAATATTAAATTAATTATATTTTTTTATCTGATTGAAAATTTTTTTTTTTTTAAATCGTTTCATCAGTCGTTGATAAATAAACATTTCAAGAATAAATTTTTCTTTAAAAAAAAAAATTAAATCAAATACAAAGCGTGGGTTTTTTTTCTTTTTTCCCCCCAATAAAAATGCGATTGTCAAACGCCATATTGGTAAACCTGTGAGAAGCACGTTGACACTATTAAAATTAAATGATTCTCAAAGGTTTACATGTTTAAAAATAAAGAAAATTTATCAGTTTTTCTTCACGTTGTTAACGACTCGTATTAAACAGTGACTGACTAATTAATTTAAATCTGATTGGGAAAAAAAAAAAAAAAAAAAAAAAATTTAAATTAAAATTTAAAAAAAAAAAAATTAATGTGAGATTGTGTGTGTGAGATTTTGCAATCGGTATCAGTTTTTTTTTTTTTTTTTTTTTTTTTTCCTTTTTCTTATTAATAATGCAAACGTAGTTATATTCAAGTTCGTGTGAAATATTAAAAAAAAAAAACACATCATCGAGTGTTAAAATGTGACTCAAACGCCAAATTAAAAAGTCAATGTACGTAAAATCACATGCTTATATATAAAAATTATTATTATTATTTTAGGTAGGTAGGTAGGTGAGAAGCTCAAAAATTGCTGATGAGTTCTAAATTGTCGGATATAAAATATTATTTATAGGCTTCCATTAACAACAACAACAAAAAAAAAATTTACAGCCCAATTTTTTTTTTCCATTTTGTAAATAATTTTAAAAACGTTTAAATGTGAGACATTACAATGGAACTGTCAAAAAAAAAAAATAATAATAATAATAATAATAATTATAATAAAATTTGTGAAATCCATTATGTTGAATTAATTAGTTGAAAAAAAAATAAAAAAAAAAAAAAAAAAAGGTTGCTGACCCATAATTTTGAGAACCAATTCCAATCGACATTAAATTTTTTTTTTTTTTTTTGTCTGCCGCTTTATACATTCCATACGAATTAAAAAACCGCACAGTTTGTTGTTGTTGTTGTTGTTGTTGCGATAAGTAAACATTTTAAAATGAGGTTCAAGTTGAACGTATTCTTTTGTTCTTCACATGATAAAACCTTAATCTCGAATCGGGTTTCATATTAATTACCTTTAAAATTAAGTCGGGAGGGATTGAGGTGAACATACACTTGATAGGCTTTTTTTTTATAACTCTTGCAAGTGTTCTTGGTCAACAGTTCAAGGCCAGTTTTACATGGAAACCAACAAAATAATAATAATAATAATTCTATATATGGAATTCTTTAAATAAAAAAGCTTATAACAGACCATGCATGCATGCATGATGCATGGTTCATAAGATTTTCTACGAACTTTGTAATACGAAATTGGCAATTTCGACATTTTTTTTAAATAAATACGCGAATCGGCAATTCGGCGGAAAAGAAAGCTTGAAATGAAAACATTTATCGCAATTATTTATTTAACAATAAATTAAATGACTCATAAATAAATAAATAAATAAATAAAAAGGCGAAAACTTGAGATAATTAATCCTCTACTTGTATATTAATAAGCGAATATTATTTTTTATTATTAAATTTTTTTAAAATAATCAATTTCGAAAAAAAAAACCGCAATTCAAATCGTTTTAATAAGGAGAAAAAAAAGAAAGAAAAAATCATACAGAAAAAATTTTATGACTAATTTTTGACTCCCAAAAAAACGAAACTAAAACTAAAACTATATAAGGAAGTTTTACAGTTTAAATAATCAAACCCGTCTTCACACAAATATAATTAATAAATTAATAATAATAAAAACATGTGACTCGAGTTTTTTTTCCCCCCCCCCCAAATCAATTCTCAATCATGAAAGTTTTGAAACTAAAAAAAAAAAAAAAATTTCTCTTTCAGACAACACTGCGAGGTGCCACCACCAATCAAGGTCCACCGTTTACAAAAAAAAAAAAAAAAAAAATGACAACTACAACAACCGATTTGGATGGTTAGTTTCATTTGATAATGAAAAATATTAAAGAGGCCCAACATGGTTCTTCTTGGTATCTGAGTAAAATGTAACCAAACTAAAGAGAAAATTAATAATACGGAGATCGTGAGTCAGAAAATAATATGAATCATCGTCGTACTATGAATGTTTTTTTTTTTTTTTTTTTTTTTGTACCGTATTTTCAATGTTATTACTGTTAAGCATTCGTTAAAGTCTAAAACTTTACAATAACCCATTCGGACTCTTTTTTTTTTTTTATTATTGTTACCTTTTAACTGACAGATAAATAAATAATAAACGTTTGTTTGAAATTGAATAATTGATGGAATACAAAATCGCACATAATAATAATTTTTTTTTAAGGAGAGAAATCAAATAAATGGCCCTCCAAAAAAATAAAATAAAATAAAAATTTTACAATTTATACAAAACTAAACCAACAGGATATTTTTACATCATTTGGCACCAGTAAAGGTCTAGGTTGCAAAAAAGGTATAACCAAAATAAAATCAAACTCTAATTTTAAACTTTATCGAATTATTTTTTCAATCTAACAAACAAAACAT